AGCCATAATAACACCTGAATAAAAAGTCTTAAAGCTAAATTAGTTCATGGGCCTATGGATGTAAAATACACTAAGGAAATCACAGCTACTCAGAAGGCAGAGACAAGGGGATGTCCAATTCAAGGCCAGCCAGCAAATTGGTGAGACCTGTCTAATAATAATAAATTAAAATTGGGCTAGTGATGTACTTCATTGGTAAAGAGCCCTGGGTTCAATCCCTGGTACAAGAACCAAAAGTGCTAAAGAAAGCAGACACCTTAAAGATGTGTGAACATTTTTGGTGCCACGTGAGAATGCAGAGTGTAATGTAAAGGTTTTCTTTAAACATTGAAATGCAGATCTATTTTTTTTTATTTTAACTTTTATCTGACATAATATCTGAACTTAGGGAGTCTCGTATTAGAAATCAATACATGTTTACATTGCTTGCTGAACACACACGGGAATTAACATTTTGATTTTCTCAAATTGTATGATTTCTAAGTGTGCCGAGTCTCAAAACCCTTATTTGGTCACATGTAATTACCTGATGCAGACTCTGGAGACCACATTGAATTATAGGCATGAGAGCTGCTGACCCCAGCCCTGCAGCTGTGCCCAGGTGTCCCTCACCCGTCCTCGGGCTGCTCCTTCTCCTGCCTCTTCCCAGATTCTTCTAGGTGCACTGCTATGTGGGCAACAGGTTTACATTCCCTACATGAGTGAGGACATGCATTAATTGACTGAAAGGACAATTATATAAAAAATTAGGGTAAAAAGTTCAATTTTTCTAAAGTGGGGTGAACAAGCAAAATGACAATTTTATTTTTTCACTCATTAGCATATTTGGTCTGTTTCCTGGACAAGCTTGAAAAAGACACTAGAAGTATTTTACATAAGGGCACATCTGTTAGATGTTTTACAGATCACAGATGATCACAGGTGCATGGCCCTGCTATTCTATGACTTCCTTGTACATAAAACTGACACACATCTCTTCTTATATACCTTTTAATTTTAAGGTAATATATATACAGGTGAAGATATACAGAATGTCTATACAATATGTATATTATCCATTTTTTGTGAATTGAAAAGATTTATGTAAAACTCAGGATTTCCAGGGTTCTATCTATCTGTATATCTAACTATCATCCATCTACCTGTATATAT